AACGCGGCCTGCGGGTGGGGTGCCTCGGGGCCTGCGGGCCCTGGACGCACGCGGGGGCTGCTGCCCCTCTGGCCCGGGGCCTCCCGCGGGGGGTCAAGGCACCCTTGCATCCCCGTTCTGGCTGCCAAGGGCTTTTCATCGCCTCCACCCCGTGCTCGCTGCGTCTTGACAGCCACCGGGCACTGGTCTGTGGCTGCAGTGTGGGACCCCCCCTCATCCTATGTTCTGTGCGAGCTGCTACCAAGACTTGTGTCCAAATCTGGCGCATACCCCCCTCAGACAGCAGGCCCCTCCCGCAGTCGGGGCAGATCAGGGGCTGGCACCAGCGGCGCCCGCCGTGGCTCGCTGCCCAACGGAATACGGCGGCAGTGCGGAGGGAGATGGGGCGAGACAACAGTCCCCCAGAGATGCCCGCGACCCGCCCCTGCAGAGGGCGGCCGAGGCAGGTGAGACTGGCGGGTCAGACGTGAACGAAAGGGGCACGGGGACGGGCGCTCAGGGGCGAGAGGGTCCCGTCCTGACCTCCCCCAGACCCACCCTGGGCCCCTTCTCGTTCCCCGTCCCGCCCTCGCCTCCCTCCCCCCCCCGCTTTGGGTCCCACGGGAGTCCGTGCCGCCAGTGGCAGGTGCCATCCAACTCCCGGAGGCTGATGATGGCCTCCCAGGGGGGATCGAGAGGCGGCAGTGGATGGGAACCCTAGAGAGGGCCATTAGGAGGCGAATCAGCCCACAGACGCGGATAGCGCTGTCCACCCACCACGGGGACAGGCGCCTGGACCGCCCCACACAGTGGCGGGTCTCTCCCCCGAGAGACCGCCAGATGACGATGGAAGAGGCGACCTTGCACATGTGACATTGCGGCTGTTGGCTGCCCCCCCCTCCGTTACATGTATCATTGCGGCTGTTGGCTGCGCCCCCCCCTCCTCCGACACTTGTGTTCGTTGCGGCTGTTGGCTGCGCCCCCCTCCCTCCGCCGCGTGGTCAGATTCAGCCCTGGCTGCGTTCCAGCGCTTCACGAGGTGGGCGGCGCGGCAGCTGCAGTTCTCGGCGACGATCGTGACCGGTACCTGCGAGGTTGCAGCGTGCCGGCCCTCGGGCCAGCGTGTCCTCTCTCATCGTTGGGTCCCCGGCCAGTCACTGGCTCCGGATACGATGAACGACGCGCTGGCCCCCCCCCAGGCAGCGGTGCGGTCCGTAGAGTGAGTGCTCTGAAGGTACCTGCTGTTCCCCTGCTCGTGATCGGTACCTGCGAGGTTGTAGCGTGCCGGCCCTCGGGCCAGCGTGTCCTCTCTCATCGTTGGGCCCCCGGCATGACAGTGGTTTCGGATGCGATGCGCGACGCGCCGGCCCCCCCCCCGGGCAGCGTTGCGGTCCGTGGAGTGAGTGCTCTGAAGGTGCCTGCAGTTCCCCTGCCCTCTCTGTGGTCAGATTCAGCCCTGACTGCGCTCCAGCGCCTATGAGCTGGTCGCGGCTGCAGCGTACCTCGGCGACCATCGGCCGTTACCCGCCAGGCGGCAGCGTGCCGGCTCTTGGGCCCGCGTGTCCTCTTTGTCGCTTCCTGGCTTGTCACTGGTTCGGAAACGATGACTGACACCGGCCCCCCCCCGGGCAGCGATGTGGATCGTGGAGTGAGTGCTCTGTAGGTCCCTGCCGTTCTCTGCCCCTGTCCTGAGATCGCGTACGGCGGTGGTGCGGACCTCGCGCTGAGTGGTTCAGCCTTCAGCGTTGTCGCTTCGGTTCACCTGCCCGCTTTCGGCTTAGTGAGCTGCTTGGAGCTTGGCGCCGACAGGGCGACTTCTCCGTTGCACTCGCACTGCGGTCTGCTTAACTCCGGTGTGGCTGGCGCCTATGTGCGTTCGCTTTAATGCGGAGCATTTTGCTCAGTGCATGTTTGTCTTGCAGGTGCGAGCTTTGTCCGCCGACTCTGGCGGTAAGTTGTCTTGCAAATTAGCCCCGCCTGTGGCCCAGACGACGCCTTCCGCTCCCTGTCCGTTGCCTCGGAGCCGCTGACCAGAAAACGTATCCCCACCAGATGCCCGGACCTCTCAGCTCGGCGACTGCGATTTGACAAAAAAAGTATCCCCACCAGCCCATCCAGAATTGATTGCCAGTTCTCTTGAGGCCTCTTTGGAGGCTATCTTGAGCCATGCTCGGCTAATGGCGGTCGGAGTCTACCTTGAGCCATGCTCGGCTATCTTGGGCCATCTTGAGGCCTTGAGGTTTCTTAGAGGTCTGTCGGAGGCTATCTTGAACCATGCTTGGCTATTTTAGGCCATTTTGAAGGCCCTCTTGGGCTATCTAGGGCTCTCTTGGAGCCATCTTGGGCCAAAAAAAGGCGGGGTGGAGGGTCTTTGGGAAAGGCTCGGAGGCCTCTTGGGGCCATCTTGGGCCCCATGTCTCAAAAAGAGGAGGCGCCTTCATTGGGATCCCCCCATCGGAGGCTCTCAAACGGCGTCTTGGGGCCGTCTTGGAGCGCTCTTGGGCGCCTCTTGGGCGATCTTGGGGCCGTTTTCGGCCTTCTTGGGCCCCTCTTGGGGCCCTTTTGGGCCATCATGGTGCCATCTTGAGACTTCCAAAGCCCATCGGAAGCGAAAAGGCGATAACACCAAAAACATTGATTTCCGTAGGCTTTTGAAGGGTTTTGGCATCTTGGAGAGCGCCGTGGAGGGCTCGAAGGGCACTTGGATCCGTCTTGGGGCTGTCTTGGGGCCTCTTGTGGGTAGGTCGGAGGCTATCTTGACCCATCTTGAAGGAATATGGGCCATCTTGGAGGCCATCTTGCGACTTTGAACGCCTCTTGGAGCAATCTTGGGCCATCTTGGACGCTTTAACGCCTCGCGGCGCGCCCCCCGTTCAGGCCCAGGGGAGGGGGTAGGGTGAGGGGTTTCAGTGGAAGAGAGAAGAAGAACACGCGTTATACCACCTGAGCCCAGAGGGCTGGTGGGATTAGTACTATTATGGTGTGATTTCCATTATCCTTATCATCATCATCATCATCAGCATCATCACCATCATCACCACCACCATCATGATCATCATCATCATCAACATCATCATCATCATCATCATCATCGTCATCATCGTCGTCGTCGTCGTCGTCTCGGAAACTTCATCCATGCGCCCCCCCATACATTCCGGCACGCCCCTCACACGTTTCGTGGTAGGGGCCTCCACCGAAGACCCAGTTGTGGAATTCGCATGCGGTGCCCCCACCCAATGAAGCGTTTCGTGGCCCCATAGGGTGCTCCACCGAAGGCACCAGTGGTGGAACTCGCATGCGGTTCCCCCCACCCAGTGCAGCATTTCGTGGCCCCATAGGGAGCTCCACCGAAGGCCCAGAGGTGGAACTCGCATGCGTTTCCCCCGCCCAGTTCAGCGTTTCGTGGCCTTGTAGGGAGCTCCACCGAAGGTCTTAGTTGCGTAACTCGCCTGCGGATCCCCCACCCAGTACATCGTTTCGTGGCCCCGTGGGGAGCTCCACCGAAGATCACAGTGACAGAATTCGCATGCGGTTCCCCCACCCAGTACAGCGTTTCGTGGCCCATAGGGAACCCCACCGAAGGTCCCAGTGGCTGCGCTCGCGTGCGGTTCCCCCGCCCAGTACAGCGTTTCGTGGTCCCATAGTTAGCTCTACTGAAGGTCCTACGGGCGGAACTCGCATGCGGTTTCCCCACCCAGTACAGCGTCTCGTGGCCCCGTAGGCAGCTCCACCGAAGGTCCCAGAGGCGGAACCCGCATGCGTCCCCCCCACCCAGTGCAGCGTTTCGTGGCCCCATAGGGAGCTCCACCGAAGGTCCCAGTGGCGGAGCTCGCATGCGGTTCCCTCACCCAGTGCAGCGTTTCGTGGCCCCGTAGGGAACTCCATCGAAGGTTCCCGTGGCGGATCTGACATGCGGCTCCCCCACCCAGTACAGCGTTTCGTGGCCCCATAGGGGGCCCCGCCGAAGGCCTCAGTGGTTGTACTCGCATACGTCTCCGCCATCCACCCAGTACAGCGGTTCGTGGTTCCATAAGGTGCTCCACCGAAGGCCCCAGTGGCTGCACTTGCATGCGTCCCCCCACCCAGTACAGCGTTTCGTGGCCCCATAGGGGGCTTCACCGAAGGCCACAGTGACTGCACTCGCACGCGGATCCCCCATCCAGTTCAGCTTTTCGTGGCCCCATGGTGAGCTCCACCGAAGGTCCCAGTGGCTGCACTTGCATGCGTCTCCCCCGCTCAGTACAGCATTTCCACCGAAGGCCCCAGTGGGGAATCTTGCATGCGGTTCCTCCACCCGAAGGGCCCAGTGGCAGAGCTCGCATGCGTTTCCCTCGCCCAGTTCAGCGTTTCGTGGCGCCAACGGGAGCTCCACCGAAGGCCCCACTGGAGGTGTTCGCATGCGTCTCCCTCACCAAGTACAGCGGTTGGTGGCCCCACAGGGGGCTCCACCGAAGGCACCAGTAGTTGCGCTCGCCTGCGGACCCCCCCACCCAGTACAGCGTTTCGTGGCCCCTTAAGGAACTCCACCGAAGGTCCCAGTGGCAGAACTCGCATGCGGTTCCCCCACGCTGTACAGCGTTTCGTGGCCCCACAGGGAGTTCCGCCGAAGGCCTCAATGGCGATGTCCGCATGGTGTTCCCCCACCCAGTACAGCGTTTCGTGGCCCCATAAGGGGGCTCCACCGAAGGCCACAGTAGTTGTACTCGCATGCGTTCCCCCTCCCAGAACAGCGTTTCGTGGTCCCATCGGGAGCTCCGCTGGAGGTCCCATTGGCCGCCCCGCCCCATTGCGGCGCACCTCCCATACGCTTCGCGTCCCCATAGTGGGTTCCGCGTAAACCCCCAGCGGCAGCGCCCACATGGCGGCCCCGCCCCACATCGGCACACCCTTCGCATGCTTCATGGTCCCGTGAGGAGATCCCTCGAAGGCGATACCCGCAACGACGGTATTCACAACTGCATATGGTTGGGTCTTTCGTCAGGATAAGTTTGTTCGATTCCAGTAAAGCTCTTGTTGTGCAGTTCTGCGTGTGATCATCTCAGGTGGCGGTCGGGGCAGAGTGGGTGTGATTTGCCAGTTTTCTCCAAGTAGTCGCTTCTATAGCTTGACAGCGTGGAGATTTATAGTGTTTCAATCTCGTGGCCATGATCTCGCATGGCATTACCTCACCTCTCCTCTCCGCTTTCCGCTCTCCCTTGGCGGCAGTGTCCGTTAATGCCAGTTTCGGTCGTGGGGCCTTTGTTTCGAGGGGAAATCCAATTTGGGGTCAGCGAGACTGGAAGACATGAAGGGGAAGGCTCGAATGGTTGTGTTGGCAGAGATACTCGCATGACGTGCCTCGGCGTCCATTTTGTTTCGTCATATCAGCATTCTGCCATCGTGATGGTAACAGTATAAACCAAACATGATTCCGTCCGTCGTTGTGAGATTTTGCCGTACCTCAGCATCTATCAACCGTATCCCTAGCTTCTTCTCCATTCAAATCTGTTTTAATTCAGTTTCAAGCTTTCTTCAGCTTCGCGCATAGCACAATTAGTGTTTTCACTTTCATGCAGTGCCAAGGCATGACCACTGTTGCCTATTGCGCCATCGACCGATTTAGAGATTTGCCTCCGAACAGTACAGTGTCTGCATGGTGGATTCACGTGGTCATCATGTTCACTGCCGTCATGCTTGTGCGCAGCCTTATCCCGACGATTGCTACGGCAGTCCATGCAGGCTATTGGGGTCATCTGGGGGGTGAATGAAGGAAACGACGGTTCGGATTTTCTGTCGATCGGCCCTTTGCGCATCTCGCTACCGTAGCTAGGTTGTGGAGCAAGGGCGCATGAGGCCTTGTCTTTTGAGAGCCCGTAAATAAGATTGTTTCACTTATCCAATTCTCAGGGACCTGAGGGCACTCCACTAGGTGCCAGAGGTACGGCGGCGGATCCGGAGGCAAATCTGGTCAACGCTTGGCAGCAATTCTCAAGATAATTCTTTTGGGAGACCACCTCCTTTTTCAAGTTGTCACGCCCTCCTCGTTGGAGGCAGCCTTGGCGTGAATATTGATGACATGAAGGCATAGCCAAGGGAATCGCTCAATGCTGGTGCTGTTCTCAACAAGAGGTTGCGCAGCATAGCCTGAGCCGGAGTGATACGAGCAAGGGAAAGCATAGCTTACCTGGCGAGTCTAGTGGTTCGCCGATTCATGCTCGTGCGATCTCGGCGGTGTGGAGCACCATCTTGTTCGGCGCTAGACATCAGCATTTAACTTCATCTGGCATTATCACGGTAGTGGTGTGTCTGAGAGACAGGATTCCTGAGTACTTTTGACGGGGACGATTCGGTGTGATAATCGGCTGGGCCTTCTGCTCCTCAAAGCTCTCGTATTGTTCCTGGTTTATCTCGGCTCATCATTCGAGAAACGCTTCTTCGGATCTCTTCTTACTCCTCCCCCTCCTTGGGGCCTATCGCAGTACCAGGGATTCACGACATCGTTTATTCGGCGGTAGCGGAGGGCAAGCTAGTTTTCATCGTTTCGCCTCCCATCTAGAGGCCGCTAGTCTTCACTTGGCTTTGTTCTGAGATGGCTCTCAGTCGTCGCGTCCAGAAAAGGCGATTGCCCCAGTAACGCGAGTCGCGGCGCACATTTGATTTGCTTTGCATTCTCGTGGTCTGCCTGCCCAAGTGGTTCCATCGGCCTGGCCGCACCCGAATGGTCGATCGGACTTGGAGGTGTTATCCATAGGTCGAGAACTGCGAATTACGCAATGAGACACTTATCCGGGCCTGGCTTTCCCCGTGCCCAAGGCTGGTGCGCAGAACCTCATGGCCTGGGCCACGCGCCCTGTGCGCAAATCTGGGGCCCAAGGGCCTGTCTATTATTTAATTGAACGCCCCTTTGGGGGCAGACACCGCCGCCTTTTGGATCCTAGAACCGAAAAATCCCGTCGGGTTCGTCCCAGAAAGCTCGCCGAGGAGTGTCTTTCACATTACCCTGAGGCCAGGACGGCTGCAGAGAGGCTGGAGAAGCTAAAAAAACCGTCGGGTTCGTCCCAGGGGGACCTCCAGAGGGGCCCAAAAAGGAGCTGGAATGGGTCAAGTGCGGCGACTTGGGGTGAACGATGAAAACAGGAAGGGAAAGAAACAGTCCCGGTTTGTTTGCGGCTCCTGGAAGAACCCTTGGAGGCTCTGAGGGGGCGCCCCTGGGACCCAAGGGCCTGCTTATTATTCAATCGCTTGGCTCATTCCGACGGCCCATTTTCGCGCACCGGGAGGCAGTGCACAGGAAGCTCTTAGGAGGCTTTCGGGGACGTCTTAACCTGGAGCCTTTTTGGGGCTCTTGGGGGCCTTTTGGCGACCTCGTACCGCCTGTTGCGGGCCTCTTGGGGCCTCTTAGGGGCCTCTGGGGACCTCCTGGGGGCTGCTTCTGGCCGAGGGCTCGAAATGTTGTTTCGTGTTGCCCCTCTTGGGCCTCTCTTGGGCCTCTCTTGGGGCGTTTTTGGGCCTTCTGGGCTGTCTTGGAGTCGTCTTGGGCGGTCCTGGAGCCCTCTTGGGCTGTCTTGGGTTGCTCTCTTGGGGCCCTCTTGGACCTTCTTGGGGCTCTTTTGGGAGTGGTTTTGGAAGCCTATTGGGGCGTCTGGGGGCAATCTTGGGCATCTTCTTGGAGCGATCTTGTGGCATCTCGGAGCTCTCTTGTTCTATCTTGGGGGCCTCTTGGGGGCCTCTTGGCTCTTATTGGGGCTCTCTGGAGGGCCTCGAGGGCGGCGCCCACCCGACCCGACCTGGCCCGGGATCTCTAACCCGACCCGGCCGGGGACCGCCCTGTTTTTTTTCGTCCGGGAACCCCCAGGGGCCGCTCCGCGCGCGCGAAGTAGAAATATTGTACGCAGTTGCTGGAGATCTTAGCACGCCTCTGGCCCGTCGGGCCGGCGAATTGTTCCTGTGTCGTCGGCAGTCCCGTCTGACAGGGATGCTCATAGCACAGGAATAGTGGCAGGCTGCTAATTGCTTGTGAGTGGGTCCTCTGGCCTCTTGGGGGAACGGGTGACGCAGAATGGGCTTCGCCTTGGCCCGCTCCTTGGGCGCGAGCTCTCGATCCCAAAACCTCCGTCGGGGATGCGGAGCACTCGGCCCCATTGTCAGACTCCAAGTACGGTTTGTCCGCGCCGATTCGATATGTCCAAACAAGACTTCCCCGTGCCAGAATAGTCGCCCGCGGCGTATGTCATGACGCTGACTGGTGAGTTCCTGGGTCCGATCCCAGGCTCCCTGTCAGCCGGAGCTCCCGAGAGCAGGTCCAGGGGTCGTGCATTGGCAGTCATGCAACCGTATATATCCATACACGCATGCACATGTATGTTTATATGTGATTGTGCTGTGTGCTACACATGTGGCAAGAGCTGTTCCCATGCTCGTCCGCTGTACCGCGCCGCAAATTTGACTCCTTGCTAACTCGGCGGTGCAACTTGTCAGTGAGGCCTCGGGGGGAGAGCGCGTGGCTCGTGTTGTTTGTGAAAGTGCGCTCGCACGAGGCGAGGAGACGCCGCGCGGACGCGCGAGAAGCGATGAACCTCTCGCGAGACTGATACACGTATACGTATCTCTTATACGTTTTTTCCCCTGGAAAGGGCGCTGGCCCAGGCCTCTCTTGTAGAGGCTTACCTCCCGGGGGGGACGACTTGTGTAGGGCCAGCGAATTTCTGCTCGATCCAAAACGAGGTGAAAGTCCAACTCGGCGTGGAACAAAGGCGTTTCGCGCGTGCCCGCTCGAGGAAAGTGTGCCCCCTATCTCGGATCCTCGATGAAGATCGGGGTTCGCATACACACATTTTTTTTGTGCAGTCGTGCCCCTCCTCGGGTTGCCAAGCTTGTGAAACACGTTTAACCTTAGTCATGCAACAGGCCGCCTCAATCTCTTCGGTGGTGGCGAACACTCCAGGCTACAACAGACAACCTCCAACGCCAGATCTAGAGCTGTCACTTCCGCGTGAAATGCTGACTCAGCCGACTGCATCAAAACCCCTCGGACGCCCAAGAGACTCAGTTTCCACGCGCCGCCCTCTGCAAAGACACCGAAAAATGCCACCGCAGCTGCTCCAACACCGCGCGAGTAGCCGCCATCGGTGAATATTTGCATTCCAACGCCAATTGGACGTTGCAATCTTCAGCGCCCCGTCCGGCAAAGTGTCGCAACTCTCACCGTGTGCCAAAACGCAATTGGCAACATGGTCTGCTGCAGTATTGCATTCCTGGGGCCGCCACTCTGCGGGATTGAGATAGGAACCTTTGTACTCGAAGTCGTGCCAATTAACTTGAAAATGCGTTGCCGTATTCGGGCCAACGGCGGGCGGTAGAATTCATTGTCGCCGCCGATCTCGCAATTCGCCACACCGGCCAAGAGTTGGTTGTCAACTACGATGCGGCAATCGGAGCCCCGACTTCCATGCTCTATCTCGCTCTAGCGGCAAAGGCAAAGGCACGGCACCAATATCCCATATGATGTGCTTGGTCTTCTTCTCCTGCGGCTCAGTGCGACTGGCGGGCGAAGAAGATGGCAAAGGTACGTTGAAAGCAATGCAAGCGGCGGTAACGAAATCATATTTCTCAGCCAGAAAATCTCGATGCGACGTGAAGGCTGCGAGCCTCGCTCGCCATGCTGGGTCCCAAGCTGCGTAGAAGATCGCGTCCTGGGTCTTCTGTCTTCCCCGGCTGTGGTGCAAACCTTCCTCTCCACGATGCCTGGATGGCATTCCCTTCAAGAGGTCCCACCATTGCCGGCCACGGTCGTCCCTAAGTTGCCACGTCAGATTGGATGCCTCCCTGCTCTGCCAGCTGGAGGTGTAGACTCTGTTAATCATGACTATGTCAATTGGTTGCACGCCGCAGTGCTGAAACCATCTGTCGAGCTTGTGAGCCGTTCTCCGATTATACTCCATCGTTCCCTCCACTGCTGGCTTCCGCCGCAATATGAAAATCCGGCGCAGAGTATCCCTCTCCCACCGGAGCGCATCCCAGAGGGACGAGGTGGTCCAATGGATGACAGGCGCCAGAAATAGAGCACAGGCCCGCGGCATGCTTGCATATGCTCGGAATTTCAATCCGACTGGCGCTTTTCCTCTCAGTGACTTCTGAAATCGATAATAACACGAATCTCCCTTGCTGAACCTATGTGCGATGAGCTCTGCTGTTGGGCCTTCTGGGCAAAGCACTCCTCCAAGCGCCTCCATGTGCGTGACATGCCGGTAAAGCAGGTCAACGCCAGGCGCGGTAAGGTGCAGATCCAACGAGCGGGGCTCCACTCCACGCCAACAGCTCTAACGAAGATGGCTTCCATGTTCAACCGTATTTGCTCTTCATGGCTGGCCTGCGTGAGCGATAAAACCTTGAACTGCCATTCCCCAATGCTCGAAGCAAAAATGAAAGTGTTGTCCACCCAATTTGTATTTGCGATGCGCTTACCATAATCATGCAACAAAAAAACATATCCAAGCTGATCCCACTCACGGGCAAAAGGTGCCAAAATTGCGTCTAGCATGTGGACAAAGACTTTAGGCTCATCTTTGCCTCCTGTGCGCATGCCCTTCGTCATCGAAATCCCGGGTGCCACGGCCACGCTGGGCACGTTCAGCGTGACCTCCAAATTGCTATAGTCGCGCATCAAAGCGAGTACCTGGTGTGCACTGGCTCCAGAAACCCGTACCTGCTCGAAGATGTCAACGTGCTCTACAGCGGCGAATGCAGTGAGTAGGTCTTGGGATCCCGGTACCAACGGAGAGAGAGTCTGCCCAAGGATGTGCATACACAAGCGATTCGTACAATACCGAAAAACAATCGTCGACTGAATGCCCCTTTTTGTACCCGTAGCTGTGGGAATGTGATGGCACAGTCATGGTCCGGCCAATCGCTGAGTAAACGGTGGCCCCGAACCACTTGAAGATGTGGTCCAAGATGCCCAACCACCAGAAATCCTTGAACGTTTTCTGCGCATTGTCCTGTGTGTGTGCAAAATCAGAGCCTTAAATTAGTCATCAACCTCGCCCTTTCCATGGTATGATCAACCGGAGAACTCCCTTTCTCTCCTCTTCTGCTCCTCGGTGCGCCGCTCGCGCTCCACTCCGGCTCTTCTTATCCTTCGCCCCTGCTCTCTATCCTTCGCCGCTCCTTGCTTCAATTGTCCGTCATTCGCTTGGCCCCAGAGGTGGCCCTCGAGGCTTTGGTATCGGACGTCCCCTCCTCTCTTCTTCTCCCCCCCTGCGCGACTGTCCAGACCGTTGCGCCTCCCGCGAAAAATTCGCGAGAGTCCGGGCCTCCCGCGAAAAATTCGCGAGAGTCTCGCGAAAGATTCGCATGAATCTTTCGCGCCGTGCGCTGTCCTCTGAGGCGCCCCCTGGCCTACCTCGCCCCCGTGAACCCTCCCTGGGCGATTCGCGAGGGCTGTTCCCGTGCGAGACCTCCCCGGGCGACTCGTGCGGGAACAGCGGCGGAGACCCCCTGGCGACTCCACCGCTCGGACCGACCCCCCCCCGGGCGAGTCGGCCCGTTCTGGACCCCCCCCGGGCGATCCAGGACCCCCCGCACCCTCCCAGGCGAGCGAGGGCGCCTACGGGAAAAGTCCCCGCCTAGGCTCCCCCTTTTGAGGCGATTTTGGCGGGGGCGATCCGCGCCGGGGCGGCAGTCGACCCCCCCCGGGCGATCGACCGCGGCAGATCCTTCCCACATA